TTTAGTGGACAGGCTACCTGGAAACCTCTAAACACGCTACAGAACTGACAGCACCTCAGCACCTCATTCTCAGAGTGAATGGTCTGTAGAATATACATCAATTTGCTATTCTTAATTATCCATGAATAGTGATTAATGTGGTATCCAAATTGTTCGTTATCTTCTCTCTATTGGATATAATCACCGCTGATGCAAAGTCATGTTCTTTCTTGGAATGTATTTAAAATGTGTCGTCACGCCATGAACTGTTACCGATCTGAAGGACGACGTCATGAACCAATCTGGATACTATTGTCATCCAGATCATGGACATTTAGGTACTCATCGATTTGCGGTCAATTTGATACGTATTCAACCCTCTGCTACAGCAAATATCTTAACAGCTAAATGTCTTACGTTGCTTGAGTTGAGGATACCAGCAGGTATTCGTACTACCTAATAAGCCTTGTCTTGAGTCATGATCTTTGGACCAAGGATTTTTTTCTGAGGATGAAACAAGACACACCCAGCTACGATATCAATCTCAGGACCCTCGTTGCCGCTGAAGATACCCCAGCTATAGCGGTTCTTTAATGATCTTCCATTACTACAAGCTCGTATGCAAGTAGAAGTTATCTTGTATATACGAAGTGTCTCGTCCGTGACTTGGCGGAAGCTGACGTCTACAGGATGAAAGCCAAGACTCTTACATGATAGCGCATGTGATGTTGGACAACAACGAACGGTCACTTATTCAGCTCTGAGCAATCACCAGCGCAAGAGATCTTTGCTTATCCAGGCCTGCCAGGCTCGTATGTAAACGTCAACTTTGCCATTTCCTAGTGGCTGCAGAGTCACGTTCAATTCTTTGAATCTTAGTTAGCCGATACTCTATAGCCACGGCTCTTTGTTCTCGAACATGGTTGGCCATTGATCACCCCACGCGTTACTGCAAGGAACAGGAGGCAAACTTTTCTCAAGGTCGTTGTCCCTTACGTTAGCCCAGTTGGGCTGCATTCGATGCAACGGAGATCCTTTTTTACTTTCCTCGAAAACCGGCAAGCCTCCAAACTGTAATCTTGTAAGCGAGCAGACGTTTGATAGCCACCCCAACTGTGCCGTTTATCTTTCGTGCTTTGGGTTGACCAACTGCTTTTAGCAAGGCACTATACGCGTCTTCTGTCATGACTGACTAGTCCGTGGAGGATTCACGGCAAGTTTCTTCTTCTTTTTACCTTGAGGATGTTGCGAGTAGTTCAAGGCCCATGTTGAGGCTATCAGACGAAAGAAGTGATTTGAATTCAAGATACATGCCCCATATTTCTACCACCTCATACTCAATTGGCTGTCTGTCTACCTAATCGATCCCGTTGCACAAACTCAGCATCTGCAGTGTCGATCCCCCGCGCCAACCCTTTCCCTCGGAGCAGACATGGTTGAAGGTACCGTGTAGTGCGGGGCCGTCATGGGCACAAGAATTTAATCTGGACCTCAACGAGGGTCATCTGATTGGTTGGGCTCTGCCGTCATAAGTCCAGATTTCGGCGGCCCGGGGCTTCTGTTCGGACTGGCCCGTCCGGGCTGAGACCCGGTTCTCGGGTTTGGGCTAATGTGACCAGAAACAGGAACTGGAGAGCCAAAGGCATTTTCATTGTTCGTTTGGGTCAAGAACAAGGTTTTTGGATAGCGTCATTCAACTCGAACTCGATCTGTTACTGCTTTGGGAACCCACAACTTTACAGGACAGGAATGTAGGACACCACCATAATGCTTTTAGGTTCACGACCTTGGGGTCTAAAAACAACATAGCATCGTCAGGGGTGTGCGCTGCGCTTTCTCCGTCTATGGGCTCTCCGTAAACGAGTTTGGTATTCGCTACTTCAAGTTCAGTTTTATGAACATCCTCATACCTGTGGCCAGTCCACGCAGGACTGCATCTACTCCATGGAGGCCTTGCCACTCCATAACTACCAAGTGTCTGCAACATACTATCTTATTTTGAACAAAGTCACTCATGCGATGTAGAGATGAGTTTGATTGAATTGTAGATTGAAGTATATTCCTGCGTTTTCCTAAGTGCTTCTCCATGTGCTACCAACTTTTCCAGCGGTCATGGCACTGAGGTTTTCCAATGTGGTACCTTCCATGAATGGTATTCTCCCGGCCAAGATCTCGCGCCATTTCCGTAGTAGCTGATCCTCCGTGATCATAATAAACTCCGCTCCCTGTGTACATGCCTGAGCGCCAGCCAGTGCCGTCCCTCCCATTACATTAGGGTATGATGCCGTTGTATTCATTCATAAAATACCGAAAAGACAGTAACAAAAGAGAAACAAACAATGGTTACTAGCTTTGACAATCGTCAATTTTCTGCTGCTGTGAAGACATTGTGTCTATACTGTACAATGCCCTCGATGAAATAGAAAAGAAATCGCTGTTGTGTACAAGTTGCAAGAGGCCGTTGGTGCTGATAGCGGTGTGTCACGACCCGTGTCTGGGCCATGTTTGGACATTTACTTGTCCGAGTATGTGAAGCTGGAGGGCGTCATGTTCATAAAATTGACACTCTGCTGACTTTGTCCAGGCGATGAATGTGACGATAATGAGGCGTCGTCGGACCAATTGTACTCAGCGTTGCCACCAGCAAAGCCAAAGTAGGTAGGCCCCATTGGGGCACCATAAGAAGGGGTCTGGGGCTGGCTAGAGCACCCCTGTGAAACATAGTTGGGCACTTGGCTTGAGGTACCAGGAACCTCAAACTCACTGGGGTATGGCGCCAGTCCTGGTGTCACTAGAGGTTCATCCGCCACGGCGACCTGATATACAGACTCGTTGCTGTACAGTTGATCCATGACACCCGGTGTAGTGGGTGGAGTACGCAGAGTTGGGTCGTGAACGGCAAGATCCATTGGGTACTTCTCTTCGTATGCTACAGAGCTAGCCGGAGTGGCCTCGCACAAGCCTTGCTGGTTTGCTATGACAGGTGTGTTGGGGGTGGGTGGTGCGATTGTTGCAGCAGTCTGGAAGTTAGGGGAGCGGTTAAGCTGCATGAGAGCCTCGGGGTTTCTTTCGAAATAGGGGCTTCTCGGGCCACCACAGGGTTTGCTGATACGGCCAACGCCAGTCGCGGAAGCAACACGACGCATTGAGTGGCCAGCGTCTGCCCTTCTTCCCATGTCGAATCCAGTTCTAGGACCACTTGCTGAGTAACTGCGGGAGGCATTGATGGCAAGTTGAGGTGGGCGCCTGTTTCGACGAGATGCAATATCCATCGAAGGGGAGGGCTTCAGACCCATAGAGGGCTGACTAGTGTGGTCCACAGCAAGGTTGTTGCTGGAGTAAACATATTGCTCCTGAATAGGGGATGTAGATAGGCGAGGGAAGCACTGCTGGGGTAATGAAGGGGTAGGCTCATCATCCTCGTTTGGCACAATCAACTGAGGATACTGACTGTAAGAGGGCAGAGAGGCGTTGAGAGATACGGGTACAGGCTCTGGTGTAGGCTGAGAAGATAGATTTGGGGATGAGCCGACACCAAAATCGGAGTGGCTAGCATCATTCTCGCTTTCATGCTCAGGACTTGATACGTCTGTCGACCGGATTTTGAGAGGGCGAGGGGCTGGAAATGGAGCGCTGGAAACAACCCGATCAGAGAGATGGTCGTCGTCTGAGTGAACACCAGAGTCATTGGAAGTTGTGTCTTTGTCCATTTTCTGTTTCGCCGCGTACTCGCGGATGTTCTTCTCCTTCTTCTCCCGTGCTCGTCGGTTTTGGAACCAGTTCTGCGAGTTTGTTAGTAATTTCGATACAGGTGTCTCAAGATTCAACACCGACATTAATACGGGCATTGTCTACTCTCATAGACTCAGCCAGTGCCTTCTTGGTAGTGCTGTTGGGCTTGTGATTCTTCTGAAACTCGGTCTCGAGGATCTCGACCTCCTCTTTAGAGAGTCGAGGCTTTGTCTCAGTTGTTCTAGACATTTGGTGATGATGTAGGAGATGTCCCTGGTGAGCATTGTAAAGCTCCATTGATTCAGGGAGGTAAGCCGCATAACTTGGTAGTTGTTGAGAGTATCTGGGGTATTGGTGGGCAGCGCTCTGGTAGCCCCAGCCAGACCACTGGGGTTGGTGGTGGTATGAACCCATGTTCTCCATCACTGGCTTTTATTCAGGAATGTAACAGGCGAGTTGGTGGTAATGATTGGAATGAAGAATGCAGACCCGCGTGTAAGTCAGGGTCAGGTTCTGTAAAGCTTGATATCTTAAGCGTATGAACGAATGGCAGATCGATTTCTTGTCGATTACAAGTAAAGAGTGACTTGGTCAGACTGGCTAGGCAATATCAAATAGAAGAAAAGAGAGTGAGGAGGTCGTGGGTGATCAAGTTGCGTTAGGTAGCGGAACAAGTCGTCTTTTGAAGAACCGTTGTTAAGGCAAGGCAATCCAGGCAAGCGAGAAGAGTACCGCAATGGTGAGACAAATGTCAGTCAAACTGCCCTCTTAAGGATGAAGTAGACGAAGGAGGTTCTTAGTCGGAAGGGAAAGCAATGATGGAGATTTGGAGGGGTGTGCGAGGGTAAAAGAAGGGAACGACCTCTTCACGTTGTACACAGCTTGAGGAGCCCTTGAAAACACCGGCAGTCATTTTCGCCCGTCATGGTAAACTGTCTGCAAGATGGCGTGTGGGTTCTCACCCGAGGGAGCTGGGGTCGAAAAGAAGCAATCAGACCCCTGGATCCCAACATGGCCGGGGGAGGAGATCACATCGCGGCGAGATGTCTTGTCATGGGTAGAGCAGGGGCTCCAGGCACACACGCGAAGAATCAGCACCAGAACCTAGGTTGCTGTGCTCTGGCCAGGTACCTAGAGCAACTTTGGGCTCAGGTTCCGGGCTGCGGGCCCAAGAGCTGGAGGCTCGCCCACCGACCTCATCCCTGCATTCAACCCCTGTCCACCCTTCCCAACGACAAGGCTACGCGAGAGTTTTGTTTTAGGCGTGCGCCGGGGGCCCTTGAGGGCACCTACATGCTGCAGTGGGCACCGCAAAGGAGGGAGCGCTCCGCGCCGGCCTGTGCTGCCGTCGTGGCGGCGCCTTGTCCACGCTCGTTGATCCACAGCTCTGTTATCCCTCCGAAGCCTCCCTCGGAGGGCTTGAAGTCACCGTTCTGGCGGGATTGGGTCAGCGGGTCCTGCGTTCGCCTGTCTTGACTGTGAAAGGGAATAGCTGTTGTGGACCTACGCCTAAAGAAGATGCAAGAGCTGCCACAGTGGACTCCGCGCTGGATCTCGCACTTAGCTCGAGGGGTTGATGCAAGTTGGTAGGGCCGGGTCCCAGGGCGGCGGCGCGCTCCAGTTTCTGTGCCTTGACCTTGTCTCATTCGGCCAACTGTTGGTGTTTTCGTTGTCGTTGACATTGCCTTTCACCGTTGCTCATCCATGTTAGGTGGTGATTGACTCTGTGAGACGCACCATCTCGTATCGTACTAGCATTGCCCAGAAGTCTAAACAAAAGATGATCTTGCCAGAATGAGGGCTGATATTCAGTCAGATCAAGATAATGTCCATTTCTCTGATGCATATGTGATGCTTGGGTCCAGATGCTTGGTGTTCGGCCTGGCTTCCTCAGAAATGCCAATTGTCGGCGATAACACGCAATCGCTCCGTGAGGCCATTCATGCATGAGTTGAGCTGTGAATTAAGCGAATTGAGTCGGCGTAGTCAAATAAGCTCCGGGCCCGAGAAGTCCAGAAGTCTTAGATTGGGCCGGAAGGTATCGTGAAGAGGCAAGTAGATCGTACCTAAGCCCCCTGTACGAGGACCGGCCCAGCGCTTGCAGCGTGCTGTAGTTGTTGAAGTCGTCAGTCCCCAGCCAATCATGCCCTGTCAGCGCACCTCTGCCATTGGACTGGGCTTTCTTTCATGTAGTCCCGACGAGCTGGGAGGTGAGATGAGGCAGGTATACCCCGAAAGACTTACCTTTTACGCCGTACCCTACTCGGGCTTGTGAGGGAAAGACGTTATCCTAAAACAGATTATGCTTTCCATTTCTAGCTTCCAGCTTGCCACTTCACGACCACCTTCTCCGTGATTGCTCAAAAGTATCCAAAGGGTACTAAGGCAGGTAGGTCAATATCCAAGTACCTACTAACCTACCTACCTCCTAACTCGAATGGAAGTGACTGTAGTCTGCCTTTTTGGCGCTTGCTTCTCTGCTCAGCATACAAGGGCTTTCTCAATTCACATTGGTCCAGCTAAAGTCCACATATTCATCACCTCATGTCCTTCATCATGGCACACAAAGATCAAATGGCAGATTGAGTGTCCTGCTTGTACGACGTTGTCTTTGTCACATCCGCTGGTGGCGGACGGCATAATAAGCTCATTTATTAGCTGTGCAACCACATTATCACATCACACCAAATCGACAATTGCGACCAAGCCCTGCGGAGAGAATTTGCGATCCTGCAGCCTTGTTTGTTAGTTTTGCCATCGAGGTTGTTCACACCAAGCAGGTCGTGACCATCCAAGTCGCCGAGTCAAAAAGTTTCCCCAAATCAGACTGATCCATTTGACGGCGAACGACTTAGATGATACTTCAACAATCCACGTACCACCCCTGCACAAGGAACTGCAGGTAGGAAAGTCCCGACTCGGTCTGGATATTCATCTTTGCCATCGCTTTGCAGAGCTGAAGAACGTCGAGTGCATACATAGTATGGCGAATGTAACCTTGGCTATTCAGCTTGCCAATTCTCACATCCATGTAAATCCTCTTCTGCGCATTTGCATAGTCGAAACAAATGACAGCTCTGAGTGGTGCTACAACCGAACATCCTTCCTCGCCGTAGGCATCCCTCGCGTACAACCCCTTCTGTCTATATCGGGCATTGCAACTTGGTGTGTCCCCAAGAGGCGTGGTACGATCGACAGCAAGACGAGGGATTGCGTGAAGTTGTGTAAGCGGCTTGAACACTACGTCTGTAGTGCGCTCTGGTTCCCAGCAAGGTGGTTCAGTCGGCTCTCTGCATTCTCAATCTCAGGAGAACACTGTGTCTTTGTGACGAGTTCCAGTCTACAAGGAACATCTGGGGCAGATACGACTGTTCCGACTTTGTCATACAGGCACTGTTTGGTCTATCTTTGCCTTCTGATATCAAACATGTCATCAAGCCAAGTGAAGTTCGCTCAGCGCTACAAGCCACGCCACGACCGGTGAAAATGTGAAAAGGGTGCGAGGGTGCGAGGGAGCGTGAGCGGTTGGTCATTAGCGGGCCCGGCCGCAAATTGCGCACCTGCAGGAAGGTGACGCCAGGGCACTACAAAGAGATTGGGGATGTGTCTGTCAACGGCCTTGAGAGGCCAGGAGGATGCGACTCTCAAGCTTCAAGAACCTGTCCAGCCATGGTTGTGACATGTATGTAGTCGCCAGCGAGTCGATCCTAGCCCACGATGGGGTCACCAGCCAGAGTGTACGAATCAACGGCATGGATAAGCGACAATTCAGGCCAGCTGTAAGTCTCGCCAGAGGCGGGTCACCGGAAACGCAACTGCTCAGGGATGGAAACAAACCAAGCTTTCCAAAACTGGCAGGGTTCCAACGCTGAGCGCACGGTGCCTATCCTAGAAAACCTAGGACCCCGGAAATGATATATCGAAGCAACGAATTTGAGTGTAGCATCGCAGCACAGTAGCACCGTCATTGTGCTTCCCGTTGACGAAAATGCACCAATATGAGAGTTACACGGGCCCGACTACGAATGCTTGGTATACGGGGCCAAAAGTTATTTACCACAACCAAACAGCGGAGTCCTTCCATAACCAGGTTGCTATCTACAGAAGTTTTCAGTCCTGATAGTGCTGATCATTTCGAGCAACGCACGTGAGTAAGTTGAAATTGAGAGACTGATTTTGTTGTTTATTATCAACATGTCAAACTGATATTCTCAGGACTTTGGCCACGGTGTCGGTGCAGTGGGTCGCACACTCATTTTCAACATCACAGCACCTCCACTTCTCAGGTACGACGGGGTGGGGTTGAGCCAGAATGAAGTTCACGGCAAAGCCGAAGAGAACGGTCTCGACTCACTAATAAGCAAACTCGTATGTATGTACCTGCACCCGCCTGAGCGGCTTGTGGGAGACCGCGTCACTTTCTTTCTTGCTGTTGTCTTCGTCGAGATTCACCGCAGACCGCGAATCGCTTTAGTGGAGGCTCTTTGCTTGCGAACGAGGATCAAAATCTTTCTTGATATGCTTTGTGCATGTTGCAGGCATTTTCCTGGCGGATGATCTACATAAGATGTGCACCACTATGCCCCCAGATACTGATCTAGGAAATGATTAGCTCTTCAGTGCGGGGGTTACTTGACAGAAAACCAGGATCTCGGATACGATGTACTCCAGAGCCTGTATATGCACTACGATACCTTGTGCATTAACGTCAGTGTTCAGAGTGCTTTGGAAACCATGGCAGCTTCTACACACTTTGCGGTGATTTCCGATGAAGAGAGGACACCGGGGAATCTCCAACAAGAAAAGTCAAGGGCCTGGGATTCCAGAAGCGATCTGAAAGTGACTACATGGTCTTTGCTGTCGGGAAGAAGCCGTCCCGATACTGGCAGGGGCCGATCTTGTCGATCACTTTTGGACGGGTCACTTCGACTTTGCGGCTCTGAACCGTCATCAAACTGCTTGTCTGATTGTTGTCGTCAACAACGACCTAAATAAGTAGCGACATTGCTCAGTAGCTAAGCACAATCGAGCCAAAACAGGAAGCCGTGGTGGTTGCTACGACACAATCCTTTCCCAGCTGAGTACACACAAACACCCGCGGGACACTGTTCCCATTCGACCTGTGATTACAAGTCTGAAGCCCAATTTGTCTTCGGCACTTACATACTGAGGACGTCACGTACTGAATCGAGTATAGTACCCTTGTCGATATGCATTTCCGACCACAGGCTGCATGAATCCCTGGTCGTCCTTCAGACAAGACCGCTGGCAGCCTGGCACGAGGTTACCCTTGTAAGAGGTCCTGGTCAGAAGCAGATCCGAGCATTTTCGGGGTCGCTGTTTACTTGAGATTCAGAATTATCAGATATTGCCTTCGCTTACCACGTCCGGGCACTAGATCCGCGGCCCGCATATATCTTCCTACGACTTCAAGGGGTGCAGGAATACAGGCGACGTTTCGAGTGAGAAAAACGTACGATTTAAACATCTACCCAGGAGCACTAATAACAGGGCTAGTTCGTCGCCGTTTTGATGCTTTATCTGAAAGTGCTTATCAGGCGTCCGCCTTGAGCGTTGAGCAAGCATAACGGCTGCCTCATCAGAGACAATGTCTTAGAATCTGCTGCGGAGTGCAAAGTTGCGATTGGTCAGCGTGCTAGCGCCCCCCAGGAGGCCCGCAGAAACCAAGGCTTAGCGCAGACGGGGCAGAGGCTGGCTTGGAAGACCTACCTTACGCTAAGTACCAACAAGTCACTCCATGCCCGTTGAGCACGGCTAGAGAATGGATCATGACCGAGCTCTGCCCCTGGAGGAAGAAAAAAAAACCCTTCTCAGGAGGTCCTCGAAACTGAACAGTTGGACTAAACCAAGCTTTTAGAGGGGAAAGTTGAGGTGTTGAGCTCACCGAATACATATGTATCTGGGGTGCGGATCGACTCCTGATGCAATCATGATTTACTGATGATCCTTCAGTACGGCATCTTGTATAACAGCATTCAGCACCGCAGAATCGATGGACAGGTTCAACGAGGATTGGGTATTGGGCGGCCGAACAGAGGCAGGGTTGGATTGCTAGAGGTCCTAGCGAGAGTTACCAGTCCTCTGGAAAGCTCTAGGCCGTGGCAAATCTACCACGTTAACGATTGGAGCACTCGTGGCCTACTCGTACAACAAGCAAGCGAAGGTTCAGATCCGATGCCCCTGTCACTGGGGCTTGGGCCTAGCTTCAACTTAATCCCCATGTCCCATCGTCTCGGTAAACCGGTGGTCTCTTGGAGAATCTTCAAACCTCTTTGCATGAAAGGTGCTGAACCTTGTCATGAGAGCTGCCTGTGACTTAACTTACATACTAAGTTGCAGGCTTCTCACTGATGAGCTTCGGCTGCCCGGTGCAACTTAAGAAGAGGTCGGCCTACTAATCGTAAACTGGTGGTCTAGCTCTGCACTTTCAATGGCTACACTTCGATGATATAATGATCGATGCCTCGATGTCAACTATGCCGTCAAGGAAAGGGAAAAATGCCTTGAGCTTTGAAAGTCAAAAACGTGTTGTTTTTATGAGGAATTGTTCACCTATCAATGTGCTAAAACTTTCCTTGATGCCGGGCAAATAACACAGCTGTACCTAGGTATTCATACGCTTGTGTCATGGCCAGAGTCATGAACAGTAAGGGTATATTGA